AGGGTGGTTTGTGTTGAGGGTTAAGGTTTAGGGTTAGGGTGAGGGTTTAGGGTTAGGGTTCGGGTTCGGGTTTAGGGTTAAGGTTTAGGGTTCAGGGTTTAGGGTTAGGGTTAAGGTTTAGGGTTAGGTCATAGGGTTTAGGGTTAGGGTTAAGGTTTAGGGTTAGGGTTAGGGCTAGAGTTTAGGGTTAGGGTTAGGGTTAAGGATTAGGGTGTAGGGGTTAGGGTTAGCGTTAGGGTTAGGGTTTAGGGTCAGGGTTTAGGGTGTAGGGTTTTGGGGGTTAGGGTTTAGGGTTAGGGTTAGGGTTTAGGGTTAGGGTTTAGGTTTAGGGCTAGGGTTTAGGGTTTAGGGTCAGGGTTGGGGTTGAGGTTAGGGTTTAGGGTTAGGGTTAGGGTTTAGGGTTTAGGGTGAGGGGTAGGGTTGAGGTTAGGGATTAGGGTTGAGGGCTAGGGTTAAGGGTTCAGGTTTAGAGCTTAGGTTAGGGCTAGGCTTAGTGTTAGGGTTTGGGGTCAGGGTTAGGTCTACGGTTAGGGTTTAGGCTTCGGGTTAGGGATTATGGATTAGGGTTCAGGGTTTGGGTTAGAGGTTAGGGCTTCGGGGGGGTCGGGGCGGGGGTGGTAGGGATGGGGTTCCGGAGCCGGGGCGCGAGCCGGGGAAAGGGGGGGGGGGGGGGTTTCGCCGACGACGTTTGGAAAGGGGGGGGGGGGGGTTCGCCGACGACGGCTCGGGCAAGGGAGGGGGGGGGGGGGTTCGCCGACGACGGCTCGGCAAGGGGGGGGGGGGGGGTTCGCCGACGACGGCTCGGCAAGGGGGTGGGTGGTGTTCCGAACCCCCCCCCCCCCTTTGGGTGATCCAGCGGCGCGCCCTCGGTGATTTATCCATGCCCACCGTCTGGGGGATCGATCTTCAGGGAGCTCAGTGATTCCTGGAAGTGCTCTGATATGCCCGACTCTCCAATACTTTCGCTAAACCTCTCACGCATGCCCAAAGGGTCTGCGGATTTTCAGAATGTGTGTTGTGTTGCGTCGGACTTCCATCTTTTGCTGTCTCATTGTCGTCGTCGTAGCCGCCGCCGCCGCCGTCGTCGTCGTCGTCGTCGTCGTCGTCGTCGTCGTCGTCGTCGTCGTTCTCGTCGTTGTCGTCCGTCGTCCGTCGTCGTCATCGTTGTCCGTCGTCCCTGTCGTCGTCGTCGTCGTCATCGGCGGCGTCGTCGTCGTTGTCGTCGGTGTTTTCGTTTCCGTCGTCCGTTGTCCTTGTCGTCCGTCGTCGTCGTCGTCGTCGCCTCCGTCGTCCGTCGTCGTCGTCGTCGTCGTCGTCCGTCGTCCGTCGTCGCTCGTCCGTCGTTTTCCGTCGTCCGTCGTCATCGTCGTCCGTCGTCGTCGTCGTCGTCGTCGTCGTCGTCGTCGTCGTCCTCGTCGTCGTCGTCGTCGTCGTCGTCGTTGTCGTCGTCGTTTGTCGCCGTCGTCGTCGTCGTCCCCGTCTTCGTCGTCGTCGTCGTCGTCGTCCGTCGTCCGTCGTCGTCGTCGTCGTCGTCGCCGTCGCTCGTCCGTCGTTTCCTGTCGTCCTTCGTCATCGTTGTCCGTCGTCGCTGTCGTCGTCGTCGTCGTCCTCGTCGTCGTCGTCGTCGTCGTCGTCGTCCGTCGTCGTCGTCCTCGTCGACGTCGTCGTAGTCGTCGTCGACGTCGTCGTCTTCGTCGTCGTCGTCAACGTCGTCGTGACATCGTCTGCGTCGTCCGTCGTAGTCGTCGTCCGTCGTCGTCGTCGTCGTCGTTGTCGTCGTCGGTCGTCCGTCGTCGCCTTCGTCGTTGTCGTCGTCGTCGTCGTCGTCGTCGTCGTCCACGTCGTCCTCTCCGTCGTCGTCGTCGTCGTCGTCGTCGCCGTCTCCGTCGTCGTTGTCGTCGTCGGCGTCGTCGTCAGTCGTCGTCGTTCTCGTTCTCGTCGTCGTCGTCGTCGTTCGTCGTCGTCGTTGTTCTTGTCGTCGTCGTCGGTCGTCGTCGTCGTCTTCTTCGTCGTCGCTGCCGTCGTCGTCGTCGTCGTCGTCGTCCTTGTCGTCTTCTCAGTCGACGTTTACCTCGTCGTCGTCGTCGCTCGTCCGTCGCTTTCCGTCGTCCGTCGTTACCGTCGTCCGCCGTCGCCGCCGTCGCCGTCCTCGTCGTCGTCAGTGGGCAGCGTCGTCGTCCTTGTCTTCTATCGTCGTCGTCGTCGTCGTTGTCCATCGTCGTTGTCGTCGTCGTTGTCGCCGTCCGTCCTTCGTCGTCGTCGTCGTCGTCCTTGTCGTCGTCCTTGTCGTCGTCCTCGTCGTTGCCGTCGGTGTCGTCGTTTCCGTCGTCCGTCGTCTGTCGTCGTCTGTCGTCGTCGTCGTCGCTGTAGTCGTCGTCGTCGTCGTCGTCGTCGTCGTCGTCGTCGTCGTCGTCGTCCGTCGTCGTCGTTGCCGTCGTCGGTCGTCGTCACCGTAGTCTGTGTCGTAGGTCGTTGCCGTCGTCGTCCGTCGTCGGTCGGT